AAAAGCGCTGAGGTTGCTGCTTATTATTATGAGTAATAAAGCACAAAAATGCTGACTGGCAAATACTAATATACAACACAGCGTACGTATGTCTGCAGCTGGTATTGCTGGCAATGAGCAGCTGGAATCAATCCACTTGGATTCCAGGGTAAAGATTTTGAAAGAGTGGTTTGGGACTCAAACATTTGTTGAGAGAAGGGGCATAAAAATGGGTCAGTGTGTTATTCATAACTATATTTGAAATCTCTGAATGTGTTATGAGGCTGAAGCTGTTTCCATTCACTACACTGTTACAGTAATCGACAAAACAAACTGCAAAAACAGCATTTAAAAGCTGCTCTCCACCAACGAAAGGCAAGCAGTTGTAGCTGTTATCAAAATCACCTGACTTGCTTCGGGTGCTCGGCTCTCCTAGATAAATGGACTTGGAGTGACTAGCTGCATATACTGTGGACACATGGTAAGAGTTAGGGATAGGTCAGGTAAACATGTCTTCCCCAGACCAGGAAAAAAACATCTTAAACATGAGGCAAACACAGTGCAAGTTTTATAAACATACAGAGGATAATGGTCAGATTCCTCTGGGAAGTGAACTGCCTTCAAAAGACTAAAAGTTATTTTTTAACTTGTGACATCTAAAACAAAACTTATCTATCGCTTTTGATGCAGATATAAATGTAAAATCGATTAAAAATCGACTTTTATTTATCTAAATGGCCGATCAGAAAAAATGCCAGGAGCTGAGTTGATAGTGGCGTGTGGTTTGAGGTACTGGAGAGACCATGAAATATGATCAGACACCAGAATACTGCACAGTGGTTTATAATACTATGAGACAGGATTTTACAAGTCTGGAAAGTTATCACGGTTACAATCATTGCCACAAGGTGAACAGCTGAAATACGGCATGTTATAAAGTAATGAACCCAGGATGTAAGCTTGCACATATTTGACGGACCAACGCAGCACCTATCAGGGTGATGTCATATTACATTATGGCTGAAAGCTGAGCCAGTTTATTTCCTGGGGCTCTCTGTGTTGGCACCAATGCTGCTGCAACAGAGTGGCATTCCCAAGGCTTCCATCATTAAATGATCAATCAAGTTCCTCAGTCTGGGGAGATGAAAACAATATTTAGTTTTACTGCATAAACTCTTCCTGTTCTTCCTTTATGAGCCACAACTCACTTCCACCAATGAATCATAATGTTTTATACCCCTACAGCTATGTAGTTTTCAATCTGTTTCTCCTCATTTTCACCGCTGCAATCTGTCCAACGCCTCCACACACAGACAGTTAGCTGAAAAAGCCTGCAAAAAAACAAGCCAAAAAAATGTCAAGAAGATATTGACGAGAGCCCAGACAGTGATGTCAAAGAGCCCTGAATGTCACAACCAGGGCACAGGAACCCTCAGGACCTCAGGATGTGGCTTAGAGCAGAGGACGGAAAACAAACCCAACATCGTGGAGAGTACAAAGTACCAGAAACGTTTGACAAATGCCTCTTATATGGGTCATTCATGTAAAATGGATTCATGTTAACCAGTGCATCAAGAAGTCAACTACCTGTGTCTTTCCTAAACACCAGCAGCATCCTTTACACATATTAGCCTTGGAATCTGTAAAGCTGTTATTATATACATTTGTAAACAGGGAACCAAATGGACAATGTTTTAAAGTGTGGTTGTAGCAGCACTCAGGTATGTGCTGCCTTCCCAAGATGAAAGGGAGATAACCCCCGAGCACCGATTACAAAGCTACATGGAGTGTAAGCTATTGCGCTAAGAGCACCTGGGGGGGGGGGACACTTCAGAAGGTGCATGTACAGTCCTAGAAATTAAAGGCCATTTTAATATTGCAGGGCAGGTCTATTAGAACATGAAACACACAGACACACATTGTAGTCTGACACACTCTTCTCTCCTCCTCTAATTCTCAAAAAAAACCTCTCCACCTCTCTCTTTTGGCATTCCTGCCTAATAGCATCATTATTGACTCTGTCCAGCTAAACGCAGGCTCCTTGTAATCTCACACGGGTGGGGCGGTTCAGACAAAAAACTGCTGCCCTGGAAAGAAGGAAACAAAGGGAGAAGGGGATGGTGGAAAAGGACGCTGAACACCAACAAAGGGAGCTCGGAGATGAGTGCCTTTGATCAGGCGGAGGAGGTAGAAGCTCTCGCATCATCTCCTCTCATCACTCAACGCCCAGGGCTTTGGTCCATGTCCTTCTAACTAAAGTTGACTTGCTGGAAAAGGGTAGTGAGGTAGGCCATCAACTCAGCGTATCCAATCTACTGAGCACATAGCTGAAACAAACACTAGATACCTTTTAAACAGGAGCAAGACGTCAGAAACTGATTTTTGGGATGTCAAGATCGGAGTCTAAACTTCTTGATGTGAGCAAGCAGATGTTAGTCAGTCTACGACTCAGCTTCTCTGTTTGGCTTGTATCTTTGTACTTTCCTTGAAGACATCCAGTGCAGTCAGAAGGTATTAGGAGAGATATGTTTCTCTGTTTGGGCTGTGTTGTGCTGACTTTTAAATGGTAGGCTTCAAAGTGCTTGTCGAATTGTCCAACAGCATCTGAAACCAACTGCCCCCACATCTTTCCAATGGTGATAATTAATGTTTGCATCTGACAATTTTTGTAACTTGCTCACTTTAAAATTCTTCAGTTCACATAACTACTTCCAAGACTTTTGCATGTACAAACGTTTGCATGAATACCTCCCAAGAGAGCAGATATAACCACTTCAGACATCGCCAGAAAACAGGTTCTACAAACTAGAATATCTCTGTCATTAGATCATCATACTGGAAGAACAGTATGGGTCAACCTCATTTAGGGGAATGCACAAGAATAAAAAGCCTAAACATAAAGACAAGACAATCATGCAAGGCAAAACTAGCAAAGAATTGAATATGGTATAATTTCAAGACGTCTGTGACTGATCTTCATTGACTGCAATGGCTTTGCAACCAGATATCAAATACAATGACTTTATTTAAGTTTATATTAACTTTGCTTTGCTCTCTGACATTTAAAGTTGGAGAATTACAGTGATACACACAATGAAAAAGGGATCAATCTGTGACACTTCTGATGTAGATGCAAACATCCTCAAATTAGATCACAGAGTCAAAACATTATCCCTTACAGTCATTGCTCCATTTTAAATCCATTATGCCAGAGTCCACAGCTAACATAACAAAAAGTGTCACCGTCTTTACATTTTCTGACAGCACTGAATGTGTACGACTATGGTGAGAGTGCTAGGCCCCCCACCACTGACTCAAGGCACTGAGCTCTGACCCATCTCAACTGCAGCTAATTAAATACTCACACAAACACGAACAAGACACACACAAACACACCCTCTCACAGCAAGGTAGTATTTACAAGGACGAGCATGTGTGTGTATGGACGTCAGCAAAGCCATGAACAACGCAAGATCCTATAGGGCACTGAAAACAAATTTGTGGACATATGTGTACACATGCTCTTTTTTTTTAATTTCATGTCAACTCAACTCCTTAAAGCACATTCTTCACACATTGTAGAGTTTCTATATATGTGGTTAATTGGAAAACTGCGCAATTTGACATCAATTTTGAGGTAAATGCCACATTTCCTGGCTTGGGAATGGTAAGTGTTGTGAAATAAAGTTTATTTGGCTGTAAACTCTCAAATAAATGTTCCATGAGTCCAGAGAGTCTGCTTGCAGTACACCTTTGACATCTCAGCCTAAGACCGGATTCCTTAAAGACAGATTAGTCATCGTTCTCTGGACTGTAGTTACAGAAGAGAGATGTTCACAGTTGTTATTTGAGTAGTCCAAGAAGGTGTTGTACAGTGGATTCTCTCATTAAATGGACGCCATGTTCAAAAGTAACCAGGGTACAAAATGATAATACAACAGGGTAGCCAACAAGTCAACTCCACCACCGTGTTTTCAGACTGCGGTGCTAAATACACAACCCCTGTGCCTCAGTAAAATGACTTGTGAAGTATCCTCTTGCTTTCTTTCTTTCTCTCCCTGCAGGATGGAGGAAAGGGGGGAGGCTTCCTGACTGATCTTCCCACACAAGCCTGACCCCAATATCCAGGCATCCTCCTGACACTCTCGCTTCACACACACAGACACGCACACACACAGGCCGAGAGACACACAAATACACAAACACACACTCTAATGTTTACCGTGTCAGATTGCAGGGTAAATAAAGGGGAAGCTCCGGCCTCTGATTTAAAAGGAGCCAAATCAAACAGGAGAGACTGCGTTATCGCACTGGGTTGGGATGGAAAGCAGAGAATGAAACAAACCCTAAATAAAAGTTCTTACGAAAACAAAACTGATCCCCTCCGAGGGTCTGGGATATTGTCGGAGAAGGACAAAAAGTGAGACGAGAGAGACAGGGGCAGAACAGCATTTGGGGAAATGTTCAGCTACCCCTGCTTGCAGTGTGCTGTGCTAATCATTCCTCTATTCCCCTGGGGGTTGTGGAGAACACATTCTGACATCCTTGTAAACATTTTAGGAAGCAAACGAACGTCACTTGGTGGTGAGGGACAAACACAAAGAGTTAAGACAAGTCAACATCGAATTTCAGAGTCAAGCTGTTGCAGCTTCGGGTTTCTGTAAGAGGAAGAGTCCTATAATTACTTCTTCCTAGTGAGGGTAACATTTGCTATGAATTAAGGCTTGAAGTTACAGTAGGTTGTAATAGGTTATAGTAGGTTTTTATCTGTTCTTTCACCACTGCTGCATTGTACAACGCAGCACAGATCTTCTATCATCTGCTAATGATCTAAGATTTCTTTCTCCCCTGAAGCACACAGTAATGAATTCATCATTTGTTACACTTGTGTATATTGAGCATATTTCTTCCTTGAATATAATTATTATTCTAGGCACAGAGCTGCAGCTTGAATCTATGATTGAGAGTTCATAAGAATGTGTGATTGCTGAAGTTTAGCAGAGGAGAACAAACATCTGGAATAGGAATCTGCCTCTTCACCACACAGACCACCTCTGTCTATTCATCTCTTTCAGGTCTCTTGGATCTGTTTGTTTCTGCAGTTGCTAAGTATATTCAAGTTAGCGGAGTACATTTTAAATATGTTTATCATGAAGTAGGGCCGGGGAAGACCAAGTTCTACATCATATTTTGGCAGGATTCCTATTTGGAGCTTCTCTCCGGCTTGTTCTTGCTGTTGATGGAGCATTTTCACAGGTGGACATCGAACATGTCTCACCTCCAAATCAGCACACAAAACCCCCCCACGACACGGCATGACAGCAGCCTTTGATGGTGTCTTTGCAAGCAGGTAAGTGACCTCTCCTCCCTCTCAGAAAACAGTAATTACAGGCACTTTAAAATCCTTACACAAAGTCTCTCCATCACCAAAACTTTCAAACTTTCAAACTTCAAACGACAACTTCGGTAAAGCTGAGGTTTTAATGGTAGACATTCATTTTATTTGGAAAGTGTTAAGTCACCAGACACAATGGGTGTATGCTCTCCAGTAGCTTTGTTTGCATGGCTACAGCCCCATACCAGTGCCCTGGAGGACTCAGATCTTAACTGCATGTCAGTCCTGATTATTTAACTTCAACTTATTTGGAGCTTTTTATTTGTCATATGACTGTGTGTCTTCACCTCTGACCTACAAGCCAGGGTTACTGTTAAAAAGCTCAACAATATATTGTCTATATAGGCATTAGGTGTTCAGGATGAGAGAGCACCAAGTGGTGATGATAATCATCACGCTGCATTGCAAACCTTAAGCCACACACTAACCCTGGCGGAATGCTAATGATAGTGACCGCCAGGCTGAACATCTGTGTGCGGAGACAGAATCCCCCAGAGTCCCTCCTCTGGAGGTGTGAGGAACATTAGGCATTCAAAGGGCGGACTGTGAGCAAACTAACACATTTCTCACTTTTCTGTGTGATTTTGTTGTCACAGCAGCGCAAACTCCAAATAATCCGAAAAGTGTGCAGAAGACATTTTTACAAAAAGAGCCAAAAATGTCATGCGTAAAAACAAACCACCACAGAACGTTCACTCCACATATATTCACTACATTACCTGGATCATGGAAGGGGACCAGGGCAAAGTTATACAGAGGTCTCTTGGGTCTGCTCAGGGATGTTTCCAAAATCTTGGACGCGCCCTCGATGACCTGGACCAGGTCGTCGTACATGGAGCCGGTCACATCAAAGACGAATGCCAGGGTCGATGCGCCCTCCGGGATGTCCTCATTCGCAGTCCCGGTCCCTGCGTCTTGCCCGGTGGAAAACGCCACTGACAGCGCCAGGGACAGCCACACCAATCTGCTGCCCATTTCAGAGCCGAGATGCTTCTCAAGCAAAAGTTCTTGAGTGTTTTGTTCTCGCCAGTCGGAACCTCACGGTGAGTCTCGAGATAAAGGTAGAGACATCGGGCTCTCAAAACTGGACTGAAACGCCTATTTAGAACAATTTACAAAAGGCACACCATCAGAAAACGAAATAGGATTAAAGGAACCCCTCGTTTTTCGTGCACCTCTTTGGTTTTCTTCTGCAGTTTCTGTGCGCAAAAGTCGCAGCCTCTCACCTCTCTGTGAACTAAGCTTCTGCGGTGCCAGCAGCTGCAGAAGTGCCTGTTGTCTGCAGAGTCAGGAGCTCCTTGTTCAGCTCTGTCATACAAAGACCACCTCTCAGCTGGACAGAGAGTCTCTGAGGCGCAAACTACCCCATGTAGAATAGCGGTGATCTGATTGGACGAGATGTTTTGGGTGACTTGGAGAGACCGTGTGCGTAATTTACTTCACTCCAGTCGCGTTTAACAAAGAGGGATCATCTTTATTTACTCCATGATTAAATATCTACGGCCGTAACAGCGTAATGTTGACGGATTTAGCCTACATGACATTAACGCACTTGTTGCAGCTCCAGTTGATTTTTGGAGGAACAATGAGGAATCTGAAGCGATGAGATGTTAATAATTAGATGGGCAATTGATGTCTAACTATTGGGGAAGCATACAATCCAGACACAGAAAGTAATCAACAGTTTGAAATGGTGAACTTTTTGCATGTGACCAGCTGTTATGGGACAAAGGAATCGAAAGGCAGCTCTTCAGTGATTTTGAGCTCTGTATTTCCACCTAGCGGCTGTAGTCTGACCTCACACTTAATTGCCTACAACATAAATATATATATAAAATGCATTTTTATTCAGTGCGCAAATGATACGAATTTAATAGGAACAGATGACATGTTGTAAGTTTATTAAAAAGCTGTCAGAATAAGGACAATATTATATTGATTGATATGATATTGCGACTTCCTACTTGTACTCCACTACAATTTTGAGAGGAATATTTAGCTTTTTACTCCACTACATTTATCTGACAGCTGTTCATAAAATACTTAATAAGCACAGGAAATATTAAACCATTGCTTCCCAACCCGTTTGGCTGTGTCTAGCTGGGGCACCTTGTCATTCATTTCAGATGTTAATGAGTTGTTAGCAGTTAAACTAAAGAGACAGATTCCCTCTAAACATCCATTCCAACTTAAATTGTCTAATATTTCACACAAGAAATCAAATCTTAGAGAAAAGTCCAACATTTAAAACAGATGTGTGTATCAGAACTTCTTCTTCTTTCCTCTCCTGTTAATCATCTCACAACCCATCAGATTTATTTTGTGACTCTTTAGAGGGGCTCAACCCCAAGATCGGGAACCACTAGACTGAACCAGCTAACTGTAGCCTACATGAAATAGTTAAATATATAAATATTCTAAATAGTTATGTCAGTATAAAATGCTGCTTACACATTGCTGCATCAGCATATAATCTGATAATAACATCATAATAAAGTATCAGACACGTGGGATTTTATTGCACAACCAGTACTTTTGATACCTGATTTGTTAATGTTGCTGGTAGACTTGGTTTTACTTGTTATGAAGTATTTTTACTTTGTTGTATCGGTACTTTTACTAATGTAAAGGATATGAGTACTTCTTTCACTGTTTGGAAGTCAAGTGGATGTAATTAGACACAAGTGAAACAGAAGTAAGCAATATGGCACGCACATAACAATACCTTTGAAAGTAAGTCATTGTATGATGAAACCGTCTAATCATTCTGCAATTTGATCCACAGTTTTCACTGATGATTTCAGCCCTCAGTTACCCAAATTATCCAGCCTGTCACATCTGTTGGGCTTAAAGACTCAAATGTAATTTCCTGTTGACTTTTCAGTAATCCCCTTCTCCATCTAATCTTGACCCCTGTTCTAGTTTGTTTGACTGGAGAGGAGACAGATAGTAGACCGGTAGGGAAACCTCCTGGACAGTTTTAGGGCTGGGTCACAAACTCATTTTCTAACACCTACTTATCAAGTGAGATTTGATCGGCTTTGGGCTTTTTGAAAGCATAAACCACAGGCCTGTGTCACAGCAGACCTTTTGACTTGTGATAGCAGCGCCAAGCACAGGTGTTATTAACAAGATTGACGATAGCTCTACTCCATTATGCATGCTAGCTCACTGGCCTGACTTACTGGGGCACTTAAATGGGATGTAGCAGCAATTAACGTTATTGGTAACACCTGTGCTTTTGATGCTGCAATAAGTCAAAATGACTGCTGTGAAATATACCAGCACCCTGAAACCAAAGCAGCTAAAGGTAATTTAACCAGAACTAGTTTTATAAGCAAAAGTTTAAACACAGAAGAGCAACTGCAGATAAATAACAGAATTATGATGGTTATAGTGGTTATGATGGACATTAATTCAAGTTGCAGGGTTCTTCTGTGTATGAGAGACTACATGAGAGCGGTTTGAGTCTGGGTGTCTGCACACTGTAAGTACAAAATAAGCTTCTTGCTTTTATCATATGTTATTTGCCACAGTTCTGTCACAAATGTGTACTATTTTCAGATGTTTTTGAGCATATTTTGTTTTCCAACACAGTATAAAATTGATGTGATAAACAATATTTAATCAACATCCAACCAGTAATATCACATTAATGTAGGGAAAAAACACTGGTTGAATATTGAGCGAATAAATAAAACAAAAGTGACTGTGAAGGTATAAGGAATGATTTCTTGTTCAGTAAGATAGACTTTTGTTTGGAACTGACAGTACTACCTGATAATGAATTATCTGCCTCACTATGTTCATTAACATAATTTAGTTTTTAGTTTGTTTGTCCTAAGGCCATTAAAATAACATGTATGTGAATCCTCCACTTCAGGTCATTTTATAGACTTAGAGACTTAGACTTAGACTTCACTTTATTGATCCCTTTGGCATGACTCCCTCAAGGAAATTGAATTTCCAGCAGCTTACAAAGCACTTGTATAGAAAATAAAAGAGGTATATAAAAAAATACAGTATATATAGTATATTATTAATCTAAGTTAAGAACTATGTGGCTTAACAAATCCTAATGCATCTCATAAATCTATGATAAATAGATAAATAAAATAAATACATTTATGCTATCTAGATATGTAAGTCCACTCAACTATTATAAACTGCAAAGCATTAGCATGTTTTGACACTAGGGGGAGCTAGTACACCACTGATGACTCTTTTTGCTGTTGTTGCAGGGCTTAAAAAACTCAGTAAGTGAGATCATGGCAATTTAGGATGAATTACAACATAAAGACCATAATAAAAAGATACATTTCAAGAATAACAGACAGGTAAATGTAAAGAGATATAGCATATTAAAATCAATGCCATTAGTATATTTCAAAATACATGACTTTGTAAAGGGATTGGATTGGATTGCAAGTGAAGTGTCTGGCTTTTTTCTCAGGTATTTTCACCAGGTTTTTACTCAAGGATGTGGGTAGAAAGTTACATGGAAACATTCAAATGAGAATCCCAACCTCACAGGCATCAGCTGATGAAACTTTTGCATGGCAAACAAATAAGGAAGTTTTGAAAATGCACCATGGCAAATCAAGCATGCAGGCAGTGGTTGCACAACATGCTTCGCAACATAAATAAATCATGTCTTTTGCAAGCTGAAATAACAGCTTGAAGACACATCCTGTTCCTAACAAGTTCATACAGGGCAAAGATAAATAAAGGGAATGTTAACACACTCACATACATATTTCGTATCAGTTTAAGAGAGCTGGCAATATGATTGACTCATCCAAAAGTAGTAAATCCACTCTCCTTCCCTGGAAATAAGGTGGGGAGGTAGACACACACCAGAAAGTGTATAAAGAACACTGTAAAGAACTGTCGAACACACACAGGCTGAATATTTCTCTCTGATACACACAAGCACATATGCTATAGCTTGTTTT